GTTCCAATATGGCTGCTACTAGTGCTGCCATCTGGTTGTTTTCACTGAAACTACACTTGCATTAAAATATTTGTATATTTGTTGTCTCAAATTTTTATATTTCACTATACTCTAGATTCAAGATCAATCTCTAGTAATAGAAGTCTGTTGTAGGATGCTTGTATGATTGAGTAAATATTTAGTCACCATTATGTTATGGGAATCAACACTTTAGACAGGAAAACATTTACAGGCTCCTGGAAAATTTATCCCACAAACAATATTGGAAGACTCAATGCAAGTTCAGGTAAAAATAAGTCAAAAAGAAAAAAAAAAAAAGGAAAATATAAAACAAATAATTAATGTATTTACAAAAGGAATTACAGGTAACAAAAGGAAAAAAAATGAAACTAGTTATAATAAGAGTGTTTGTGTGTGTGTGAGAGAGTACAAAAAGTCAAGACAAAAAAACATGAAAATGAACGTGCCCCAGCAGGGGACACTTTTCTCCCCACATGCAACTACATCATATAGCCAGAGTTGAAAAACTGTTAAAAAAAAAAAAAAAAAAATGAAGATTATAGGGAGAAAAAAAAAGCATGCCTTTTTATAGGCTTAATGAGCACCTCTTCATGATGTTTATTTGGCAATGTCAAGTCGGATAAACCACAGGCCCATAGTCACTCTGTTGATACTATTCTCTTGGTAAGACAATCTGCAACTTGAAGCAACCACCCAATAAATAATTGTTATCTATTTCCTGTGTAGTACACCGTCTATCGCCAGCACTATGAGATGAGCACAGAGTATCTACCAAGTTATTTTTCTCTATTTTTAATCATTTCACATCTAGCAAGGTGATAATGACACTAAGATGCAATAAGTTAAATGGATTTTTATTCATGAATATTTGATATTTTTCGTTTTTTTTGTCCTATAGGTTAATAATCTATTGTCCTTTCTGTAATGGTTGGTATAACCATTAAGAACATCAACTATGAAAGCACAATTGACCAGCATATATAAATAGTTGAGCCATCACACAACACCTGATGATTGCATTCAAACATGAAACAGACTGTCACCACTTGGTGTTGATCTCAATGTCCATTTATATACATATGTGTGTGTGTGTGTGTGTGTATTTGAGCAGCAATCATTCTCTAATGCATATTTCAGTAAAATGACTGACAAGGTACTTCTGTTTTATTGTTTTTCTTGTGTGCAATAATAAAAACCATTATAAAAAGACTTTTTTTCTTTTTTGTGCAAACAAGCACTACAAAAATAGCCATTTTGTTTCAACACTTCCCAGGGAAGAGTTGAAACAAAATTTACATTGAACTCTCTAGATTACATCCTCCTTGGATTTATCCATACGGATTACCAAATAACTTCATTATATATATATATATATATATATATATATATATATATATATATATATAAAATACAAACATAAATTTTGTCACTTTAGCTGATCGGTGTTACCTTCAGCATCCTGACTTCATAGTTTCATAGAAGGAAACTCAAGCAATCACGCCACCCATGTATCAGAGAAAGTGGATACTGAGATCAACTTCAAGTGGTGACAGTCTGTTTCATGCTTGAATGCAGTCTTCAGGTCATGTGTGTTGGCTCAACTATTTATATATGCTGGTTAATTGTGCATTATGAATAGCAAGGTCTATTTCATTATCCTGATGGTTATTGAGTAGATAGTAACAGTTATATTTCAGATTATTCATGTGGCAATTGAGGAGAAATAATGGTGGGTCAAGATGCAGTTATTTGTTGCTATTATATACCATTGGTTTTTAACCTAACTCATTATATTACCAATCCATTCAGTCAAATGTAGACTTTTGATATATTTTTTTTTTTAAATACATTTATAAATCTCAGTAATAAACTTGTGAAATTAAATATGTTCAAAACAAAAGTAACATTTCACCATCACTGAGAAAACCTTGAATTTCTACCTGTCATGCATTTTGGGAGTTCTCTCACGGAGGCCCCTTGCCTTAAAAGCTTATTGGGACTCAAACTCATTCCAGACCTCCTTGAGCTCATATTATATATTTTATAATGTGTGATGTCATTTGTTTACATTTGGATACACTTTGAGCAGATATGAATGTACATGAGAGATTCATGGAAAATTGTAGTTTAAAAGTAGTAAAATCGACCTTGCTAACCAAACGATCCTCTGTGGCTCAATCGGTTAAGGCACGTCAGTCTATATGACGGTTCCGTATAGGATACAGGTTTGATTCCTGTTGGAGGACGAATATTTTCTATGAAAATTTCTTGGACATTCAGGCCAGTAAATATTATTAATACTGTTTATTATAAACAGAGATTATACTTAAATATTTGCATCTATAAAAAGAATATATATATATATAATCTTGTTTGTTCCCTCTTCACAGATGATTGCCATCCCATGCATCAACATCTTATCCCCCTGCTCCTCGCCGCCCCTTCTTGAATGGCTATGAAGGTGACTCTTGAAGCCAGCAGCTGACTTGCATGGCTTGAAACATAGATGGCAGGTAAACTCTAGTGTCTTCATAGAATTGATTGGATCATGCTATGATACCTGTTCCTCTATTATCATGTGTCTCTTCAACCCAGCCACAGATTGGCATACTACCACTTGGTCTTGACGGTAGCAATGCAAAATGTCTCTCATGTGATTCCATATGGTTAACATATCCAGCTTTAGGCATTAGAATACAATCATCTCACATTTTCAGCTCACTATGTTAGCATCCAATGCATTCACAATGCATTTCTGCAGAGCCCATTTAAGTTCTTGTAGTGAAAGAGATAATCAGCTACCTTGAAAAAGAGTTTGTGTTTTGTATGTGATCTGCCAAAGAAAAATTAAAAAAGTAGTTAGCAAAAATCTACTTTAAGGACCAGAATCTATGCTAATGTTCTTCCCTCCCCTGAATGGCGTGACCAATCAGAAAGATCTCTCGGTGAACAAAAGTCGTTGTTTTTCGCTTATGCGCATTTTAGATTTTCTGAGCTTGATGGATGAACAGGCGTTTTTGATGATGAGAAGTGAAGGTTGGATGTGTGACCCCATTTTGTCATTTCTACGTTGCTTGTTACGACGGACTACCATTTGAACTGTGATTTGGCTACAAGTGTTGCAGTTGAGAGACAGAAGAAATCTATTGCAGACGTTTGTTGCTACTATAAGCTGACAGTTTTTTTTTTCCTTTCTTTTTCTTTTCTTTACAACTACAGTTCTGCATGCACCAAGTTCTTTGCTTCAGATATCTCACAACCCTCTGCAACAGCTTTCCGCCACTTAGTGTGATTTTCCACCATCTCCTCCCACTTCTCAACATCCAAACTGATCTTCTTTAGATTTTCATCTCATGGATGATTTTTGCTGGATTTTGCAATTAATTTTGATTATTCCCAAATTTATTTCCAAGTTATAAAAATTGTTATTGTGCAAAAAAAAAATTTTCACAAAAAATCATGTACAAAAATTGCCGAAAACAATCGCAGTAATGAAAAATTGGGATTCCAAAATTTCTGGATTCCAGATCTGGCCTGGAATGTTTTTCATACAATCCTTGAACGTCTTCCTTGGCTTATGCCTCAGATGTCCACCAGCAGAAAGTTCACCATAAAACAACTGCTTTGGCAATTTACTGTTTTCCATTGCTGAAGATGCTGGAAATAGGGTTGTTTTCCTTGTACTGCTCCAGTAAGTATCAAAATCCTCCTGATATGTTTTAGCTTTACAAAATCCAAATGAGACCAAAGATTGCTGCTATATCTGGGCTGGAGATGCCAAAAGTCCTCACTTTCCAGTTTTGATAGAGTTAAAAAAAAACATTTAAGAAGCATTGTATCAACCTACAACACTTTTCCAACAGACAAAATATCGCAAACTTCTTGGCAATCTATCGCTATTTTTATGGCAAGTGTTCTGACAAGCTACATTAGTTAGTTCTACCAGTCATGACATTTGCAGGACCTGCCATGTACATGGGAATGAATTATCCTGATTCTTTTTGTAATCCAATAGTAAGAAGAAAGTTAAACTTGGACAGCTTCCTTCCAAGAAATGCTGCTTTGTGGAACAGACTCCTGAGTGGATGTTTTACTGATCCCTACTATCTTAACCTCTTGAAGTCTAGGGTTAACTTATCTAGACTACATATCCTCATAATCTGCACCACTTGACTTCTCAATGCTAATACTTCATAATATAGTATCCCTTTACTTTGAGTGGGTGTGGATACGACCATGATGTGATTATATTACTACATATGTTTCAGCTTCTTCATTATCCTTAGGTGGATGTGTAGGTGGTGTAATAGTGGCTTAGTATGGGAAATAAGAGAGTAGAGTTCAAATTTCAGTCAGGTTCGTTACATTCATTTAGGCACAAATACTCTTGGAAAAGGTATGAATACATCACCTCTCCCAAACTATGGGTTAAATAGTAAGACTTTTATCTGGAAAAATCAATTTTATTCTTTTTATATATATATATATATATATATATATGATCGAACATTGAAGTCAATACTCAGAGGCGACAGGCTGTTTCATGCTAGACACAATCAGGCTGCGAGTGTTGGGTTTTTTGCTCAACTATTTATATACACAGGTCAGTGGTGCATTGTGGGTAGTCCATTCTGGTGGTTATTTTAGCAGGAGTGGTTTGTTTATTCATTTGGCTTAATTTATTTTACTTGTTTTTATTTATTTTTATATATATATATATATATATTTACATGCACTATCTCTGATATTGAGCACTTTATGCCATAAACATAGCACATCTTAAAACTATATATATATATATATATATATATATATATTGTTAATACAATATTCACTCACAAAAAATAAAATATTCTTACAATCCAAAATATGTTCCGGCTTTAAATAACTCAAAAAGGGTTGAGAAGCCATAAAGAACAAATCAAACTATCATGATCCTTATACAGTATAAAACTACTAAATAATGAAAACAAACTCACCCTTTTCATACTGTACCCAGCATTGAATATAATAACTGGTAGCAGAACATTGAAGAAGAGTTCTGGGTCGAAAGTTACCTGCAAAAGAGAAAAAAAAATGAATGAAAGAAACATTAAAAAAAAAATTTTTTCAAAATTTGTCATATAATAGACATTGCATCAAAGGCTTACATTTAATCTCAAATTAGGAGGTTTTATATAAGGCTTTGCTTTTATTTAGCAAAAATTACACTAAGTTTCCAACATTTTAAATGTTACTGCAATATCAGACTTCCAGGAGAAAAAAAAACTTTAAATAAGAAATAAAGAGATATAAGAATGAGCACAATGCTGCTTTTCAGCAAAAGATCAAATTCTTCATTTCTTGGATTCATGAATCATTCTGGTAAATGATTCCTGATTGTTACATGTATGACCAAGTAAAATTGCATGCGACAAAACAATGAAAGCAAACAAAATGTGTTTCAATAAAATAGAGAATTTTCTTATACTCCAAGTACAATGCATAGAAAAAGTATTTTACATAGGTTAATAAATATATTTATTTAAATAAGGAACAAATAGAAAATCTTGATAAATGTGGCGTGTTTTGCTATTCATCTTTGTCAGGAATTCTTCGGAGTGGAATTATTCAGTTATATTGCCAATTTATAAATTATATCATTTTGAATCATTCAGATTTCTGAAAAAGTTAAATCAATAATTGAAAAATCATGAAAATGAATGGGCTCACTTCCAGATCCTTTCACACAGATACATGTGTCCCCCAAGGGTTCTACACTGTTTTTGATCTTCATCAATGATCTTCCTGATGTCATCAGTTCCCAAATAGGTATTTATTCAGATGACACTACCATTTACTCCCGTCTTAATAGCAAATACATCTGATCTAACAAAGTAAATCTGGTTGCTGCCCTTGAAAAGGACCTCCAATCAGTGGTCAACTAGGGCAGGAAATGGCTTGTAAATTTTAACGACTCATTTAACCACTGTAACTTTTCTGCTTGCCATCAGTATGCCTGATGCTAGACTCTTGGAGAGCAACACACTGCATCTTCTTGGCGTCACATTTTTAACTGATTTGAAATGGATTGACTACAAATCAATCGCTGCATCTACTGTAAAGTCACTCCAGAAAATTTTACAAATCTACCATTCATCTGTGCATTGACTACTGCTGCCATAATCGGTTTGGTACTCCTGCTATTCATCTTAAGGTTCTGGACAAAATCCAAATAAGGATCTGCAATGTAATTGATTCTGACTTGACATCTTAACTTCAGTTGCTTTCTCACCGACATGTGGCTTCCCTCTGTCTTTTCTACAAATATTTTCATAACAGCTCTGACAAGTTTTTTTTCCCCCCTGATGCCCTGACTATATGAATTTAAGCATACTATTAGATTGGTATCTACATCTCACCAATTTAATGTTGAAATTACTATTTAACCTTTACCAGACTAAATTCTTTCTAGAATTGTTTCCCCTGCCACTGCATTTTTTTTGAAGATGAAAAAAACATGAACACCTACTGTTTTCAAATTGTTACAACTTTCTTTGTATTGTGCATGTAGATTTTAATTTTTGTATACTAATAAAAGAATGAATAAGTAATATTTTGATGCAATACATTATGTTTTGCATGCATGTTTTGATGTTGAAAACAAAAAATATTGAAACGCAAAATAAAAAAAAAAACATGAAATAAAAAACAAATATGTTAAAAAATACATAAATAATTCAACGTACTTTAACTTTTATTACTCCTTGTGGTGTTCTGGGGGTGCAATAAGAAGCAATATTGCTAAGAAGGCTTTCATTTCATCAAAAAAGTGACATGTTTCTTCGTGTTTATATACGAGAAAACACTAGCATTTGTTTGCTCTTTCTTTCACCTGACTCGTATTTATGTCTCGTTGACATTTTCTCATTAATGAATAAAATTATTATTTTGGTGTTTATAAACAGACAAAATAATTCACCTTCAGAAAGGCCAACAGGTATATTGATGGTTGCCAGTAGCTTCCATAAAATTAGTCAGGCATAGATGATAGTAGCCACTAGAGGTCATCATTGCTTTCCTCCATGTCACTAGTACAGTTATCACCTTCGACCACTTCACTGTCAATATTCACTTGAGTAAGGCCTTCAAAATCATCATTCAAGTCATAATCAAAGAAAAACTTTTGAATAAAGGTTTTGTTGGATATTGATGCAGCCATTTTTGTTTACAAAAAAAATCACAAAAAAATTAACATGGGTTTAATTGGTGTTACACCTCGTGTAGAGTCTAGAAGAATTCAAAATAGCATTGGAAAATGGAAGTTTAACCTTGTTTCAAAGCAGTAGTAGATGATCTCCAGCTTAAAAACCGGAAATAACAACTGACAAGTGTTTATTTATAGCAACCATCTCAAGGTGACAGAATACGCCTAGAGCAGGAAAGAGAGAGAATTCTATGGCAACAATTTTTGCCTGTAGCATGGTAAAGTTTAAATAGTTTTAAGCCAGTCCATCTTTTCCTCATCTGGTTGTGATATCTCTTAATGGTCTTTTTCGGGTCTTTAATTATATAAATTAATCTCCCAATGCATTTATCAATGACACCAGCTTTCCAAAATTTCTTTCCTATTTCTATTATCATTGAAAAGTTTTTTCTCCTGATATCTAGGATTTTGTATCTGTTTTTTTCTGCATGTTTTTTTTTATTTCTCTTTGGCAACAGTTTATTCTTGTGATCATTAACTTTGCAGTGAAAACCCTGAATTAGCACTTGGGTTTGGTGTCACACGATATATTGTAGGATATTATCAACAGATTCAATATTTTCATCTGACTTTTTTTAAATGCTCACTTGAAAGTGTCTACAAATCATTTTACCTGTCCATTAGATCACTGGTGATATCATGTGGTAGCGATGTGTGCAATCAAAAAACTTTACAAAAGTGTTTGAACTCTCTTGCCATGAATTTTGTGCCATTGTCCAATACAATCGTATCTAGGATACCGAATCTGGCAAAGTCTTCATGCAAAAATTTAATTGGACCACTGCATGTAGGGCTTTTACATTTCATGACCTCTGTCCATATCCAAAAACTGTCAACAACAATTAAATAATATTGTTCCTTTGTTGGACTTGCAAAATTTATATGCCGCCTTGCCTGTCCATCTTTGGCCAAGGGGTAAATTTCACTGGTGGCACCTTTACTGCCATTGCACAATCTCTGCATGATTTTACATTTTCTATTTCTTTGTCCATATATGGCCAAAAAACATAGCTTCTCATTAAAGCTTTCATACCAGGGTGACTGGTATGGAAGTCTTTTAAGATTCTTTTTTTTGCAGCACTCCTGATATCACCACCTGTTCACCGTACATCAAAATTCCATCACAGATAGAAAAAAATATTTTCACCATCATTCTTTTTGTACTGTTGGTGCATAATTTGTTTCTTTTTCTCTGGTATATTTGTCTATTTTTGCTTTGTTCCTGATCTCCTTGAGCATCACAGGTAATTCCTGTATAGTCTTGCATAGCACGCTTTTTATTTCCATTTCTGTTCTTAGGGCTGCTATTATAGTTTCCGCCAATGGTTCGCATCGTTTGGGAATTAACCTGGATAACCCATCCACATGCCCTAACCTCTTTAACAGAAGGAACTCCGTCATAAAATTATAATCTAATAATATTGTTCCAATCTCTGAAGTTGATTTACAGTACGTGTAGGAATCCCCTATGTGAAATCAAAAATAGACAATATAGTAATCTGTTTGAAACATAAAACGTCTTCTATAAATGAATCTATGGAACTTTTTTACCACAAAAATTATCCCTAAACCCTCTTTTCCCAATTTGACTGTACCCTTTTTTAGCGGGCAATAAGGTCCTCGATGTGTGCGTAATCGCTTTTACTTAACCGTTGCTTTCTTTGTGTAACATTATGGCTCCTTAGCCCAAATTTCTAGCGTTACTTGTAACAATAATATCATTATTTGGATTGTAATGCACCAGACTTAAGTCTGACATTAATATTTTTTGTAATTTCCTTAAAAGCACTGACAATCTCTACTCCAATTCCATTTAGAATTTTTTTTTAATTTATTTAGGAGTTCTTAACATGTGCATATTTGGGATAAAATTACTGTGGTAATTTACTAAACCCAAGAATGCTTATAGTGCCAACACATTTGTTAGGGGAGGCATATTCTTTATCACACTCAACCTTGATGGGTCTGGTTTTCTGCCTTTCACATCTATAACCTGTCTCAAATACTTAATTTTAGATAAAAAAAAATTCACATTAATCTAAGTTTCAAGCCATATTGTTTTATTTTTTCAAAAACTTCTTTAACATGTTTGGCATATTGTTCTCAGTTTTCACTCTTAAGATGTTGTCAAGGTAGGCTATTGCAAAATCAACATCATTCAATATCATATCCATGATTTGCTGGTGCAACTTTTATCCCAAATTGCAGTCTGTTGAATCTATACAGCCCCTTATGGGTATTTATAGTTAAATACTTTGCACATTTTCGTCGACAGGAATATGAAGGTAGGCTTTAGACAAATCAAATTTTGAAAACACTTTGCCACCATTTAATTTCATGAATATGTCTTCAAGACTTGACAGAGGGTAATTATATGTTTCTAAACAACTATTCAATCCTGTAGAAAAATCAGCACAGACCCTAATTTTATTATTTTTCTTTTTCACAAAATGGTAGGCTTGCTCACTCACTGTAGTTCATTTTGCTCAACATACCTATTTGCTCTAAGTGGTCTAATTCTTTACTAATGGAGGCTTCAGCTGCAAAACGTACTTTTCTTTTTGGCCTAAAAATAAGCATTACATTCTCTTTAAGTTTGAATGTCACTCTAGCTTTTGTGTACCTGCCAAGACCTATAGAAAAATTTCAGGAAATTTTATCTTGAAATTTTTTTTTTTAATGTTTCCACACTGTTTGAATTAACATTGACACTGTAGCAGAACAAATTAATTGGTTGGTTGAAAAGTTTGAATGACTCAATCCAACCCATACTAAACAGGTTGTGGGTTCATTTCCTAATGAATCTTTTTG